TGGCTCATCCCTCTCCTCCTTTTCCCAACTAATCTTTGCTCATCCATATTTTCCTTTTCCCAAAATGCTCCCAGGTCATCCCTCTCCTTTTCCCAAAACCCTCCTGGCTCATCCATCTCCTCCTTTTCCCGACTAATCTTTGCTCATTCCTCTCCTCTTTTTCCCAAAACGCTCCCGGCTCATCCCTCTCCTCCTTTTCCCAGACTTTCCGCTGGCCGGTGGCGACCAACATCGACGGGAATGAGATCCTGGAGATCCAGGTGTTCAACTACAGCAAAGTCTTCACCAACAGGTGAGTCCCTGCTTCCCACGGCCCGCACGGATCTCATCCCACGGGAAGAGGCGGCTCCGCTTCTGTTTTGAGGCATTCCCAGAGAATTCCTAGATCCCTGGCAGTGCCCAAGGAAAGGCTGGATTGCGCTGGGATCATGGGAAGAGCCCCAGGGATGGGATTGAAGGTCCCTGGATTCCATCAAATCAATTCCAGGATTCTGGGATCAAGGACACTCAGGATCCATCCCGAGGCATTTTTATGGAATTTGGGAATGGAAAAGGGAGGGGAGACCCTCCCTGGAGTCCCGAATTCCCAGTGAAGCCCCTGGATCCCAAAATTCCTACTCAAGGAGGAATCGGGATGGGAGGGAGAGGCTTGGGAAAGCTGATCCGGGCGCTCCATGAATAATTCAGGAGCAGCTGATGAAGGCCATTGATCAAAGGCCTGGAAAAAGGCGGGATACCTGATCCAGGACCTGATCCAGACCCTCCGGAATGACCAGGGAGTCACGTCCCAGCGGCTCCCTTTGTTCCCTTGTCCCCGTTGCTGTCACCAGCAGCCAATTCCTGGGAATGTGATCCTTGTTTGGCCTCATCCAGGTGCCTCTGGATCCTGGTGGGTTCATCCCGGCTCCAGAGGGTCGCCGGGAGCGTTCCCAAGGTGCTGAGTATCCACGGAGAAGGGATGAGGGAGAAGCCTCTTAAACCCCCAGACAGGTCACGACATCCCAAAAATCCTGTCCCCAGTTCCTGGATTGGGAATTTCTGGGCTGGGAATCTCTCCAGGACACATCCAAAGCATCCAGGAGCCACATCTCGCCCTTGGGTCATTTCCAGATGGAGATTCCCACTGGAAAAGCTCCATACGTGGGAAGGGTGAGAAATTGTGGGGCTTCCACATCCTGAATAAAATCCAGGAGATTCCCATGGCATGGAATAATCCATCTGACCCCATCCTGGAAAATTCTGGTGTGAGGTGGGATGACCTGGGTGGGAATACTGGGATCCTGCTGCAATTCAGATGTTTTGCATGGAGAGACCTTCAGAACCTCTTCAAAATTCCTGGGATGTTCTCCCACAGTTCCGTGCCGTGGGAGAGGCTGAATGGAGGAAATCTGAGATCCCAAATTGTTTTGGGATTTGAGCAGGAAAAGCCACCATGGGACGCTCCTGAGGGATGTGGGAATGGGAATCACACCCAGGAGAGGGGAAGATCCAGGGAAAAAAAACAGAGGCACACCCAGGGATGAATCCAAGAGGCAGCCGTGATCCGGGGCTGCGGAGCATCATCCCTGTGGTCCCATTCCCAAACCTTTGGGACAGCCTGGCCCAGCCTTTCCAAGCAGGTTTTCCTTGTGCAGAAAACAGGGACAACACTGGGCAGAGATCCCAATCCTTAAGGAATGGGCACAAAACCCAGGAGCTTTTGCTCCAGGGGGTTCTGCCTCCTCCTTGTCCCTGTTTTCCTCCAGAGCAACAACAGGATCTGGCCAAAGGCCCAAAGCCACATTTCAAACCTGGAGCAGAGATAATTTTCCTATGGAAAACCAATCCCACAGAAAAGAGGTGGTAGTTGCTCCGTTACTTGACAGGGACAAAATTATCCAGATTTGGAAGGGTTAAATCCATCCCTGGAGTCTCGGGGATGGAAATGGAGCTTTGTCCCAGACTTTGTTCTTCTCCAGCCATGGAGATCCTGGCACAGCTCGAGTTCTTTGTGTCTCCGGAGGGATCCTTGTTCTCATTCGGAAAAATCATCTGCAGAAAGTTATCTGGAGAAATAATACACAGAAAATTATCTGGAAAATCATCTGCAGAAAATTATCTGGAAAAATCATCTGTGGAAAATTTTCCAGAAAATTATCCATAGAAAATTATCCAGAAAATCATCTGTGGAAAATTATCTGGTGCAGGATCAGGAGAAGGGAAAAAATTAACTCCGGAGCTGGAGGGTTCCCTGTTGTCCCACTTCCCTTCCCACATGGAGTGGTTACATGGGATTTTGGGATGGAATTCCATGGAGATCCTGGCACAGCTCGAGTTCTTTGTGTCTCCAGAGGGATCCTTGTTCTCATTCGGAAAAATCACCTGCAGAAAATTATCTGGAAAAATAATACACAGAAAATTATCTGGAAAATCATCTGCAGAAAATTACCCGGAAAATAATCTGTGGAAAATTATCTGGAAAAATCATCTGCGGAAAATTTTCCAGAAAATTATCCAAGGAAAATTATCCAGAAAATCATCTGTGGAAAAATATCCGATGCTGGAGCAGGAGAAGGGAAAAAATTAACTCTGGAGCTGGAGGGTTCCCTGTTGTCCCACTTCCCTCCCCACATGGAGTGGTTACACGGGATTTCGGGATGGAATTCCTGGCTGTGAGGGGCTGGGGTGGAATTCCCAGGGACGCTGTGGCTGCCCCGTCCCTGGAAGTGTTAAAAAAAAAGTTGGATGGGACATGGAGCAATCTGGGATTGTAGAAGGTCAGGGTTGGAGTGGGATCAGCTTTCACGTCCTTCCCACCCAAGCCATTCCAGGATTCTGTGCTGGAATTCTTGGTGCCCAATCCCTGCCTGCAGCTCCTTGGGTGTGACCCTTTCAGCTCCAGCCACGTCAGATTTTGTGGAATTTTTAATTTCCAGATCCAAACACAGAGCGAGAGCCTGAGCACACCCAAACTACCTCTCCAGAAATCTCATCCCAAACTAAAATTCCTGGCAGGATATTTCCATACCCAGGGCTGACTTCCACTCACCTTCCAAAGGAAAAAATAATTTCTATTTATTGGGAATTTTTGCAAAAGTTTCCCAAAGAAAAAGGGGGAAGAAACTTGGCTGGAGCAACTTTTAGTACCTGGAGGCTGCTGAGCTGGAGTGCCCCACATTTCTCCAGGTATTCCAGGGGAAAATGAACCTGGAGTAATTACTGGCTCCTGCAAGTGGCGGGAAGGGGATAATTAGGAGGGAAGTGATTTTGGAAGCTCTAATTCCACAGTGTGAGACAATTCCAGATGAAGCTGCAATTTGGCTGGAGAGGGAAAAAGGCTCCAGAGAAAGCTCCAGGCAGGAGCTGCAAGAGGAAGGAGCTGGAATTAATCAGGATTGCCCAAGCAGGGATTTGGAAATCCATGGAAAAGCTGCAGGTTCCAAATTGGAATGGGCACCTTCCACTGTCCCAGGGTGCTCCAAGCCCCATCCAGCCTTGCCTTGGGCAATTCCATGAGGGTTCAGCAGGATAATTCCCTGGAGAAGGGGCCAAAAGGTGTGGAATCCCTCTGCTTTCCTTATCCCACCCTTCCAGGGGTTTCTGGAAGTGGGGAACAAACTGGGGTGGAGGTCCCAGGATTTGGCTGTTGTCAGTTCCAGGGGATGGGTGGATGGATGGATGGATGGATGGATGGATGGATCCATGGATCCATGGATCCATGGATGGATAGATGGATCCATGAATGGATGGATGGATGGATGGACGGACGGACGGATGGATGGATGGATGGATGGATGGATGGATGGATGGATGGATGGATCCACAGATGGGTGGATCCATGGATGAAGGGATGGATCCATGGATGGATGGCTGGAGAGAGGTATGGATGGTTATGTGGATGGATGGATGGATGGATGGATGGATGGATGGATGGATGGATGGAGGGATGGATCCATGGACGGATGGATATGCCATTCCCAAAAGCGGATGGATGGATGGATGGATGGATGGATGGATGGATGGATGGATGGATCCACAGATGGGTGGATCCATGGATGAAGGGATGGATCCATGGATGGATGGCTGGAGAGAGGTATGGATGGTTATGTGGATGGATGGATGGATGGATGGATGGATGGATGGATGGATGGATGGATGGATGGATATGCCATTCCCAAAAAAGAGCCTCTCCCTGGCTTCAGGAGCAGACCTTGCCCATGGATCAAACAGTATCCAAAGGCTGAGGGAGCAGAGGAGGGAAAATGGGATTTCCTGGGCTGGAGGATGCTCCTGGCACAGGAACCTGGAATTTTGGCACTTGGAAAACTTCAGTGCTGGCAAAGCCTGACTGGATTAGTGGGATTCACCATCCCCCCAGTGTCCCTGGAATCGCCTCAGGGACACAGGAGGCATCCCTGGAAGTTGGGATGCACCATGAGGGCAAATCCTGGTGGGTCCTGGGATTTGGAGCATCCCAAACTCCCTGATCCCGGGATTTGAGCGAGCTCCAGGTACAGAACCAGTCTGGCTGGGGTTGGAAACGAGCTGCTCCTCAGGGCTGATAAAATTACAGATGACCCAGAAAATTTCCCTTTTTTCCATCAGCAGAAACGGCGGGGAAGGGAGGGAGCAGGGCCCTGATGAATTATGGAACACTCGGAATTGAACGGCGGCACAGACAAGTCCTGAATTTTTAATTCCGTCTTGCTCGGATCCTGCCGGGGGGAGCGGCCTGGGAAGGATCCGAGGAAGGACAGGAGCTTCTCTGGGGAACCTGTGCCAGGGCTCGCCACCTCCACAGCCAGGAATTCCTTCCCAAGATCCCATCTGTCCCTGCCTTCTGCTGCAGGGCTTGGAATGGCTCTGGGTTTGCAATGGATTCATGGAATGCTTTGGGTGGGAAGGGACCTTAAGGATCGTCCCATTCCAAGCTTGACACCTTCCACTATCCCAGGTTGCTCCAAGCCCCATCCAACCTGGCCTTGGACACTGCCAGGGATCCAGGGATCCTCTGGGAATTTCAGCCAGGAATTCCTTCCCAAGATCCCACAATCCCAAGCTCCTCTTTCCCACTGGAAGCTCCTGGCCCTCCAGGTCTTGTCCCCAGTCCCTCTCCAGCTCTCCTGGAGCTCCTTCAGATCCTGGAAGGGGCTCCAAGGATCTCCCTGTGTCCTACTCCTCTCCAGTTGGACATTCCCAGCTGTCCCAGTCCCTGGAGCAGCTCCAGGGCATCCTCTGGACTCATTCCAAAGCTCCAGATCCTGATGTTGGATCCTGCAGCTGGAGCAGCTCTGCAGGGGGGATATTCCAGGAGGAATTTCCTGTTCCTTCCTCAGCCCTCTCCGGGCATTGAGCACCTGGGAGCCCACAGCCCCTGGATCCATCTGGATCCAAGAGGAGCAGGGAAGCCACCACCACGCCTGTGAATGTTCTGGATTCCAAACAGGTTAAAAAAGAGGGAGAGCTGCAAGAATCCAGGGCCCTGAATGCTCCACCCCTGAAGAAAAGCTGGAATTGGCCTGGAAGATCCTTGAGGGACCATTCCAACTCAGGATATTCCATGGAACAAACCCAAGGAATACTTTCCAAAACAAAAGTGCTGCTGCTCTGGCAGACGGGGGATAATGTTGTTTTCCAAACCCTGAAATCCAAGTGGATAAAGCAGTTTTTCCTCAGCTTGGAGAAGAGGAAGGACGTTTCCATGGGATGCATTATTTCTTCTGGGTTGCGAATTATGGAGCAAACAAAGGAAAGGTTTTCCTGTTCCATATCCTGCGGGGCACCTTGGAGACAGAGCTCTGCCGGGATTGATCTGTGCTTGGAATGTGGAAAATGAGGGATGGAGGTGGAAATCCTGCAGGGACCTGGAGGGGCTGGAGCATGTCCAGGGAAGGGAACAGAGCTGGGAAGGGAATGGAGCCCCAGGAGAGGCTGAGGGAGCTGGCAAGGGGCTCAGCCTGGAGAAAAGGAGGCTCAGGGGGGACCTTTCCCCTCTCCACAACTCCCTGGGAGGAACCAGAAGGGATCGGGATCTGCTCCCAGGGAACAGGGACAGGATGAGAGGAAATGGCCACGGGGAGGCTCAGGTGGATCGGGCTCTGCTGCCAGGGAACAGGGACAGGATGAGAGGGAATGGCCGCGGGGAGGTTCAGGCTGGATTTTAGGAATAATTCCTTCACATCATTGGAGCTTGGAGTCACCTTGGATGGTGGAAAGAATCAGGATGAGCTCCAAGGTGCATTCCCACCCAACACATTCCTTGATTCCATGATGTGGTGCAGCTGGATGAGGGACAGTCCCTGCTCCTTATCTGAGTCACCAGCATGGAAAATTAAGGATATAACAAAGTTAAAGGTGTCCACTGTGGACATTCCATATGGAAAAGGCACTTTGGGATCCCGCAGCGGCGTCCCAGGAATTTGAGAGTGATGGTTCCCCAATCTCCTTCTTTCCTTTTCCCAACAGCATTCCCTTGGAATGGCTCCTCTCCTGGCTTCTCCTTTTCCCATCACCTCCACTGAACCTCAATCTGGGAATCTCACCTCTCCCTCTTCCTAAAGAAAATGGGAAACAAATCCTTTTTCCTGTGAAAACCCGTGCTGGTGGGTGAGAGCTCACGGGATTTCCTGTCCTTTGCTCCGCAGGCTCATCGGGACGTTCCGGATGGTCCTGCAGAAGGTGGTGGCGGAAGGGCAGCTGGAGGTGACGGACACGCTCATCGATGACAACAATTCCGCCATCCAGGTGGGTCACCGAGGCCAACATTCCCATAATTCCCGGATCCATGCGTCCGTGTCTCTGCTGAACCTGTGGGAACAGGGATGTCGGTGTTCCTTGCCTTGATCCCGTTATTCCTTGATGACGTTACTCTGAAAGGACGAGGCAGCCGGGAATGTCTGGAGGGTGCACAGAGAAAACCAAATTGGAAAAAGAAGTTTGGGACTGGGAAAAAACAGGGATGGACCCGAGCATGGACAGGGAGAAGCAGAGCCCAGGATGGAATCACTGAATTCCAGACTGGTTTGGGTGGGAAGGAACCTTATATCCCACCCCATTCCAATCCCAACACCTCCCACCATCCCAGGGTGATCCAACATTTCCTGGGACACTGCCAGGGATCCAGGGATTCTCTGGGAATTCCAGCCCAGCTAAGAATTCCTTCCCAAGCTCCCCTTTCCCACTGGAAGCCATTCCCTGCCTCCTGGCCCTCCAGCCCTTGCCCAAATCCCAGCTCTCCTGGAGCCTCTGCAAAAGGCTCCAAGGATTCCCTGGATCCTTCCCTAATCCAGCTGCACATTCCCAGCCCTCCCAGCCTGGCATCCCCATCCTGAATCCTCTCTGAGAAGGAATTTCAGGAACAAGGGGGTTCACTTGGAATCTCTGGACTCCAGGAAGGGTCTCCCTTCCTCCTTCCTCCCTTTTACATCCCAAACTCCCACAAAAAATCCCACTGGATGCATTCTGAGTGTCCTTTATTATGGAATCATGGAATGGTTGGGATTGAAAGGGACCTTAAAGCTCATCCAGTTCCACCCCTTTCCAGGGGGCAGGGACAGGTGGGATATTGGGAAGGAATTCCTGGCTGGGAGGGTGGGAAGGAGCTGGGCTGGAATTCCCAAAGGAGCTGTGACCACCCCTGGATCTCTGGGAATGTCCAAGGCCAGGTTGAATGGGGCTTGGAGCAGCCTGGGACAGTGGAAAGTGTCTGGAATGAGATGGGATTTAAATTCCCTTCCCACCCAAACCAGCCTGGGATTCCAGGATTCCATCCCAAGCCCTGGCCAGGCTAGGAGGCCAACAGGAATTCCTTTGCCACCAGAAATTTGGGAGGATTCAACTTCCATCCATTGATTTCCCTCTCTGCCCTTTGTGCCACCGAATGATCCTAAAAATCCGGGATTTTTCTCCCTTGGAGGGCGATTTTCATCAGGCAAATTCCCAACAAACCAGCGAGCAGCTGGAATTCTTTTTCCCAAGCGCATCTGCACTCCTTGCGTTTCCCCTCCCTCCTCAGGACTGCATTTCTGGATTTTATTGGTTCCACTCCCTCTATCCCCCCACAGGAGCAGCCACTTAATGAAATCCTGCTTGCCTCCCTGCGAATTCCAAGAATTCCTGCCCCTGTCCTTGGTGCTGGATGAGGCAGCGCCTTCCTGGGAAAAAGGCGGGGGGTGGCTGGTTTTTAATGGAACCCCCGGGGTTGGATATCAGGATCAGAAATAGCTGCGTTTCCAAGCCAGTTCCAAAACTCCGTTTCCATGGGAAACGGCTCCCGGGAGATGGGAGAGCAGCGAGGGAAACGGCGGCTGCTCCGAACAGGGGGGGATTTTCTTTTGGGATGGGGGCTCGGGATCAGGGGTGCGCTCCCAGACTGGTGGATCTCATCCTGCTCTTCCCAGAGGGGTGTGGAAATGTCCACAAGGACATTCAGGATCCATCCCAGGGGATTTTTATGGAATTGGGGGATGGAAAAGGGAAGGGAGACTCTTCCTGGAGTCCACAATTCCCAGTGGAGCCTCTGGATCCTGAAATTCCTTCTTAAGGAGGGATCAGGATGGGAATGGATCCAATGGCAGGCTGGGAGAGCTGGGAATGTGCAGCTGGATCAGGGAAGGATCCAGGGAATCCTTGGAGCTTTTCCAGAGGCTCCAGCAGAGCTGGGATTTGGGCAAGGGCTGGAGGGCCAGGAGGCAGGGGATGGCTTCCTGTGTGAAAGGGGAGCTTGGGATTGTGGGATCTTGGGAAGGAATTCCCAGCTGGACTGGCATTCCCAGAGAATCCCTGGATCCCTGGCAGTGTCCCAGGAAAGGTTGGATGGGTTGGAGCACCCTGGGATCATGGAAAGTGTCCCTGGAATGGGACAAGGGGAGCTTGGGATGGTGGGATCTTGGGAAGGAATTCTTAGCTGGGCTGGAATTCCCAGAGAATCCCTGCATCCTTGGCAGTGTCCAAGGAAAGGCTGGACAGGGCTTGGAGCACCCTGGGATCACAGGAAGTGTCCCTGGGATGGGATTGAAGGTCCATGGATCCCATCCCAACCATTCCAGGATTCTGGGATCAAGGACACTCAGGATTCATCCTGAGGAATTTTTATGGAATTTGGGGATGGAAAAGGGAAGGGAGAGGGAAGGATCCAGGGAATCCTTGGAGCCACTTCCCAATCCCAAAGGAGCTCCAGGAGAGCTGGGATTTGGGCAAGGGCTGGAGGGCCAGGAGGCAGGGAATGGCTTCCAGTGGGAAAGGGGAGCTTGGGATTGTGGGATCTTGGGAAGGAATTCCTGGTGGGGCTGGAATTCCTAGAGAATCCCTGGATCCCTGGCAGTGTCCAAGGCCAGGCTGGATCACCCTGGGATGGTGGGAGGTGTTGGGATTGGAATGGGGTGGGATTTAAGGTCCTTTTCCACCCATCCCGAGGCAGTTTCTGGGAACAGAAATTTTTCCATGATGGAACCCGAAGGAAAGGTTGGAAATAGTTTTCCTTTTTTTTTCCTGGCTGAGAACCTTCCCTGGCAGCTCCCTGATGGTGGGATCTTGGGAAGGAATTCCCGGCTGGGCTGGAATTCCCAGAGAATCCCTGGATCCCTGGCAGTGTCCAAGGCCAGGCTGGATCACCCTGGGGTGTTGGGAGGTGTTGTGATTAGAATGGGGTGGGATTTAAGGTCCTTTTCCACCTATCCCGAGGAAGTTTCTGGAAGCAGCCTCATTGTTCCATAATGGAACCCAAAGGAAAAGTTGGAAATCCTTTTCCTTTTTTTCCAGGCTGGTTGAGAACCTCCCCTGGCAGCTCCCACCCTCCCTCCTGACTTTATTGCCTTGGCCAGGAGATTAAAAAACTCTGGGAACGCCGGAGCCAGGAGCAAAATTCCGGCCGTGTCCATTCTCCTACAACAGCAAAGCCGGGATGGCTCTGAATTAATTTTTTTTCTCAAGAATCAGGGGAAAAAAATCCATAAAAATCAATTTAAAATCCCCACGGAAATATCAACCTCTCCCAGCTCTGCAGGGAGTTTTCTCCTTCTTAATTTTCTTTCCCAGTCCATTGTTTCCAACAGGAATTTCTCCTAATTTCAACCCACACCTCCTAATTGCCCTTCCAAGGCATGATCCCACTCATCCCACAGATCTTTCACTTTGTTATATCCTTAATTTTTCCTGCCTTGAAAGGATTTTTTAGCTCCCAAATCCAGCTGGAAAAGGAGATTTTAACCCCAAAATGTCTGAAAATGTGGAAAAACTGAATATTCCAACTTTGACTCCTGTTTTTCCCCCTCATTTCCTGTTTTTTGTTTTTTTTTTTTCTGTTCTCCAATAGCTTTGGGGGAAAAACTACGTGTGATTGACTCAAATTTGTATTTTGCAAAAAAAAAAAAAAAGAAAAAAAAAAAAAAAGGAAGGGGGGAAAAACTACGTGTGATTGACTCAAATTTGTATTTTGCAAAAAAAAAAAAAAAGAAAAAGAAAAAAAAAGGAAGATTAATCAATCAAAACCTTCCCCCAGAGCTCCATTCCCAGCTGGGACTGAGTCACCCTTTGGCTGTCACGTGCGGGATGCACAGAATCCCTCTGGAATTGTTGCTCTCTTCCCAAATCTTGGATTTTCCAGCTTTACAGCATCCCCCTTGTTTGGAGCAGGTGGGGAGGCTGCACCTCCTTTTAAAATAAACGTGGAAAAAAGAGGATTTCTGTAAGAAATTTCTCCACTCCTCATTTTTTAACCTTTTAATTTTTTTTTCTTTTTTTTTATTTTGTTCTAAAATCTGTTGGTTTTGAACCCAAAATAACAGATAATTTCTCCATGGAAGCAGAGTGGAGGTGGAAAAGTGCTTTTTCCTTGTACTTAAATCTTGTCAGCAGCTGATGGCTTTTCAAAAGAGGCATTTTCTAGGAAGAAGGAATTGGGAATTGATTTTTTTCCCCCAATTTACTTTGCCCAAACCTGAGCTTTTAGAAGGACTTTGGCCATGGGAGCAAAGGCAACGGGATGAAATTCCATGGATTTGATTCCATTTGGAATGCAGGGAATGATTTTAGGGGGGGAAAAAGGGAAATATGTTAGGGAGAAAAAAGGAAATATTTTAGGGAGAAAAAAAAGGAAAGATTTTAGGGAGAAAAAAAAGGAATGATTTTAGTGAGAAAAAAAAGGAAATATTTTAGGGAGAGAAATTAAATATTTTAGAGAGAAAAAGAAAAGATTTTAGGGAGAAAAAGAAAATATTTTAGGGAGAAAAATACTTGAAAGCTTCAGTCTTGAATTTGCTGCAACCTGGAGTAAATTGGGAATGACCACATGGAAAAGGGAGAGGAACTTACCTGGAGTTGGTTCATCCAGAGAGGTTTAGATCAGAGATTGGATATGGGATTTTGGGAAGGAATTCCTGCCTGGCCTGGATTTCCCAGATCAGCTGTGGCTGCCTCTGGATCCCTGGCAGTGTCCAAGGGAAGGTCGGACATTGGGGTTGGAGCACCCAGGAAGGTGGAATGGGAATGGGGTGGGTTTTAAGGCCCTTTCCCACCCAAACCATTCCAGGATTCCGTGATCCATGAGAAGTTTGAGATGAGGCTTGGACACGGCCAGTGCCAGGTCCCTTCGTGTCCCCAAGCCCCCCCTGGTCTGTCATGGCCACTCTGGGAAATCCAAACTAGAATCAATCCAAGGCTCCCCAGGGATGCCCATTCCTAAAAACCCCTGTGCTGCCTGGAGACAGGACCAGGCTGGAGTGAAGCACCACAAATCCATGGATTAGCAGTATCCCAGGGTAAAATTCCCAAAAAAAGCGATGGACCAGGGAACAGAGCTCCACCAGCTCCATCTGCTCCTGGTGCCTCCAGCTGCTCCCCAGGGATGCCCATTCCTAAAAACCCCTGTGCTGCCTGGCTGCAGTGATGCCTCACAAATCCATGGATTAGCAGTATCCCAGGGTAAAATTCCCAATGAAGTGGTGGACCAGGGAAAGGGCTCCACCAGAAACTGCCTCCATCTGCTCCTGGTGCATCCAGCTGCTCCCCAAGGCTCCCCATTCTTAAAAAAACCCTGCCCAGCCTGGAGACAGGACCAGGCTGGAGTGAAGCACCCCAAATCCATGGATTAGCAGTATCCCAGGGTAAAATTCCCAATGAAGTGGTGGACCAGGGAAAGGGCTCCACCAGAAACTGCCTCCATCTGCTCCTGGTGCCTTCAGCTGCTCCCCAAGGCTCCCCAGGGATGCCCATTCCTAAAAACCCCTGTGCTGCCTGGAGACAGGACCAGGCTGGAGTGAAGCACCCCAAATCCATGGATTAGCAGTATCCCAGGGTAAAATTCCCAAAAAAGCGATGGACCAGGGAACAGAACTCCCCCAGGAGCCGGCTCCATCTGCTCCTGGTGCCTTCAGCTGCTCCCCAAGGCTCCCCAGGGATGCCCATTCCTAAAAAACACCCTGCCCAGCCTAGAGACAGGACCAGGCTGGAGTGAAGCACCACAAATCCATGGATTAGCAGTATCCCAGGGTAAAATTCCCAATGAAGTGGTGGACCATGGAGCTCAGCTCCACCAGGGACTGGCTCCATCTGCTCCCTGTGCCTCCAGCTGATCCCTGGGTTTGCAGCTTTTCCAGGCTTTTCCTTCTCCTGGCTCTGCTGCCGCTGGTCTGGGATGCACCAGGAATTCCTGGTGAATCAGGACCATGGTCAGATCCCTCTCTGGCCCAAAGGTGCTTTCCAGGTGTCCAGATGTTGAAACCCTTTGTAGAGAGACGGGGCTCCATTTTTGGTTTGTTGGAGAGAAGTGCTGTAGAGTTCAGGGTTTGAGAGAAAATATAGATAAGAACTGTGAAACATCTGAGTCCCAACAAGAAATTGCAACAAGAAATTGTGATTTAATTCCTTGGCAGAAGAAAATAAGCAAAGAATTCTCATCCAGGAAGAGAGAAACTTCAGGATCAGCAAGGCTAATACACCCAACAGCCGATGCTCTTCCCGCTTTTTGGATTTCTCGGGATATTCCATGGGCGCTGATATATGGGGCAAGATGGAGGTTTTAGGGAAGTGGCTGATCCTTCTTCTTCACCTTCTTCTTCATTTTCTTCACCTTCTTCTTCTTCACCTTCTCCTTCTTCACCTTCTTTTTCCTGCTGCCCTCGGAGGATCCAGGGAACAGCTCCAGGTGAGGATGGGATCCAGGTGGCCTCCAGCAGGTCCTGGAGCTCCTGGAGCAGAGCTGGACTTCCAGGATTGTGGCACTTGGAGAGAAAATGTAATTCCATCCTGATCTCAAGGCGATCAGGATGGAATCACAGATCCAGATCAAAGGTCTGGATGGGATTAAAAGGCCTTGTAGAGAGACGGGGCTCCATTTTTGGTTTGTTGGAGAGAAGTGCTGTAGAGTTCAGGGTTTGAGAGAAAATATAGATAAGAACTGATAAACATCTGAGTCCCAACAAGAAATTACAACAAGAAATTGTGATTTAATCCCTTGGCAGAAGAAAATAAGCAAAGAATTTTCTTCCAGGAAGAGAGAAACTTCGGGATCAGCAAGGCTAATACACCCAACAGCCGATGCTCTTCCCGCTTTTTGGATTTCTCGGGATATTCCATGGGCGCTGATGGTGTCTCCCTGTCTTGCAGACCAGCATCTCCATAGAGATCCGCCAGGGCTCACTGGTGAATCCATTGGCAATTCTCCAGGTGAAGGTGGGATCCAGGTGACCTCCAGCAGGTTCTGGTGCTCCACCACACCTGAAGAGAGCTGGACTTCCAGGATTGTGGAATACTTGGAGAGAAAATGTCATTCCATCCTGATCCAGAGGGGATGAAAAGTCTGGATGGGGGTCAGGGCTCACTGGTGGATCCATGGGAAAGCTGCAGGTGAGGGTGGGATTCAGGTGAGCCACCAGCAGGTCCTGGTGCTCCACCACACCTGGAGAGAGCTGGACTTCCAGGACTGAAGAACTTGGAGGGAAAATGTCATTCCACCCTGTTTCCAAGGGGATAAAGTGTCTAGATGGGGGTCAGGGCTCACTGGTGGATCCATGGAACAGCATCAGGTGACAGTGGCCTCCAGTAGGTCCTCACGACACCTGGAGAGAGCCAAACTTCCAGGACTGAAGCACTTGGACAGAAAGTGTCATTCCATACTGATCCCAAGGAGATAAAAGGTCTGGATGGGGGTCAGGGCTCACTGGTGGATCCATGGAACAGCTCCAGGTGACAGTGGCCTCCAGCAGGTCCTCACGACACCTGGAGAGAGCTGAACTTCCAGGATGGAGGAAAAGTGTCATTCCGTCCTGATCCAGAGGGGATGGAGGGTCTGGCTCCTGGTCAGGCCTCACTGGTAGGATTTAGGACACCTGGAATCTCAGGTGTCCATGGAGCACATGGTGCTCTCAGGACTGAAGTGGCTCCAAGGCCACTATTGGGGTCTCAGTCACTCCCCAGGACAAGTGGAATCCCACAGCAGGAGATTCCTGATGGGAATTCCTGAGGAACCCCACAGTGACAGGTGGGACACCTCCAGCTCTTCCAAGGGAATTCCGGTTTTCCATTCATTTAGGGATCCTTAGCTTTCCTTGGGTGTCTTTGCAGGCTCCTGGGATCTGCCCCTGGATGGGAACAATCCCAGGGGCTGAATCCTGACATTCCTTGACACAAAGCTGCTGGAACCAGTTGCAATCCCAGCCCAGTGACTGGGAATGCTGCAGGTGACTCCATTGGGATGGAGTCCGAGCTGAACAGTTCTCCATGAGCCTGTGGATACTCAGGGCATGATCCTTGGATGGTGATGGAGTGCCCATCCCTGGAGGTGTCCAAGGAATTCCTGGATGTGGCACTCAGTGCTCTGGGCTGGGGACAAGGTGGAGACCAGGCACAGCTCGGGCTTGATGATCCTGGAGAGATTTCCCAGGGAATCTGCTGGGATTCTGTAAATCCAGAATTTGCAGCCACGAGGGGATTCATGGAATGCTAAGGTGGATTTTCAGGCAGCTTTCCACAATTTTTGGAGTTGTGCTATCCGGCGTGGCTTTGTCTGTGGGTCTCCACTCTGAGAGCTCTTGAATCCATTGGAAAAGGGAACAGTTGGAATAGGGGAGACATGAAAGCCCAGAATTTGCTGGAATTCTTCAGGAATGAGGGGGAGGTGGCATGGAGACTCTGGAAGTGGGAGAGGGGGACGGTGAAGGCAGAGCTGGGTCTTGGTGTCACCCACGGCTCCCTCGGGAACACTGCATTCCCTGTCTGCTCCTCGTGGATCCACCACTTCCATGGTGATGGATAAAGGAGGGCAATCCCTGTATTCCCAAATCATGGAATATCAGAACACTTCCAGCCAGAAAATCCCTCTGAGAACACCATGGCAGGGGTAGCACTGGATGGGATTTAAGGTCACTTCCCACCCCCCCAGCACTGCCAAATCCCTAAATCCACACAGGGAGCCCAGCCTGGAGCTGTGAATCCAAACAGAGCCCTGGGAATCAGCTGCTCTTTCCATCCCATTTCCCCCGCCTCAGGGTTATCCCATTTTGGACCACATTCCATCTGGGATTAGCACTTCATTGTGGCCAAAAAAAGGGAAAAACGGGAGACAGAGGGAATATCCCTCTAATTGCTCACATCTCTCCAAGGCAGTTCATTAACTGTGGGAACTGGGCTGAATCCAGAGAATTTTAAAGCAAATTGGAAGCGCAGAATCGTTTTGTTTCCTGGCTCAGTGAGCCGGGACGAGGCTGAGCGGGAATGTGGCAATGGATTGAACAGGCCGATGCCAGGCAGGGAGCCAGGAATGGCACAGCTGGAAGAGAGGGTGTCTGGGTTTGAAAAGACTGCTGAGGAAGGCAAGAGCCTCCCCTGAAATGGAAAATTTAAATCCCCTCCCTCCGAATTATTATAATTTTGAAATTAAAGGGCTGTCAGTGGAATTTTATCAGTGACACTCACTGGCCCATGAACAGAAGATAATTAATAATTAATGGCCCATGAACAGCAGAGATCTCCTGGAGGGAGGATTGGCTGTGGGAGAGATAAAGAAAACTGCCCAATGAACAGAGGATACCTGCCCCACCCCTAACAGATGGAAATTGAACACACACAGATCTTACAACCCAGGACAGAGGTCAGGCTGGCTGGGATGAGATATCCGAGTCCTTCCTGTGCCACTGGAATTTGGGGATGCAGGGAGCATGATGGATGCTCCATCCCTCAAGGAAGTGTCCAAGGAAAGGTTGGATGGGGTTTGGAGCAACCTGGGACAGTGGAAGGTGTCCCTGCCCAAGGCAGGGGTAGCACTGGATGGGATTTAAGGTTGCTTCCCACCCAAACCAGTCTGGGATTCAAGGATTCCAAGGAATTGAAAGATTCCAGGGATTTGGAGGGTGTTGCTGGGGTGGCTCCAGGATGGGTTTTCCGGTTTCTTGTCAGATGAATCCTACAGGATGCAGCTCTGTGGGATTAAAGCAGAAAATTAAGGATCCAGGGAGAGGTCAGAGCCCCTTCCCAAGCCTCAAGGAGCTCCAGGAGAGCTAGCTGGAATTTGGGAAAAGGATGGAGGGCCAGGGGCCAGGGAATGGCTTCCACTGGGGAAAGGAAGCTTGGGGTGGGATCTTGGGAAGGAATTCCCAGCTGAGAGGGTGGGGAGGGGCTGGAATTCCCAGAGGAGCTGTGGCTGCCCCATCTAAGAAGAGTTGTGGTGTTTGCCCAGCGTGGGATGTGCAGAGCCGTGTCCTGGGTGGGGTCTCCAGGTTGGATTTTGGGAACAATTCTTTCATGGAAAGGGCTGCCCACCCCTGGCACAGGGAAGGGCTGGAGCCCCCATTCCTGGTGTGATTTCAAATCCCTGTGGATGTGGCACGTGGGGACATGGATCAGGGGTGGCCTTGGCACTGCTGGTGATGGTAGGACTTGGAGAGCTTTTCCAAAGGACCAAAGGACTCAGTGATTCCATGATTTTGGAATCCTGAATCCAAGGAAGGACAGGGCTGATGCTTGCGGTGTTCCCACCAGGATGGAAGAGGACGAGCTGTATTTCCACAGCGAGGATGAGCTCCTGGGAGAGGGGGACTCCCTGAGCCAGGGGTCCCTGGACACGAGGTAGGGAGAGGCTCCGCAGTGGTGTGCTGTTCCGTGCCTTTTCCCCATGGATCTCCCACCGGAATTGTCCCTGAATTCCCATTCCTGGGCTGCTGGTGAGGAGGAGAAGCGATGGAACAGCCAGAAAAGCAGCCTTGGAATGGGATCTGAGATGGAGATCGGGATATGGGCTGGGACACTGCCGTGCCTTTGAGGTGCCCTTCTGTCCTGTTCCCAGATCCCGGGATCAGCCATTCCCATGGGAATGAGCTCCCTGCGTGTGCATGGAAGTTTGTTTGCTGTGGATTTTCTTGGAGTGACAAAAGAGTTTGGAAAGGAGCCAAAGAAGGGGAATTTCAGGTAAAATCCCAAGGATCGTCCCAAGAGGAGTTCAGCCAGAGGAAGGAGCATTTCGGGAAACGCTCCTGGATTCCTGTGGGATAAGGGATGGCAGGAAGGATGTGGAGGGGCTCATAATAACAGGATTTAATACTGGCTCTGCCTTGGAGAGGGCGGAGTCTGACCAGGTGATCCTTGTGGGTCCCTTCCAATGGAAAATATCCCACCCTAACCCATCCCATCCCATCCCATGGATCCCATCCCAGCCCATCCCATCCCATCCCATTATCCAACCCCATTCCATCTCCATCCCCATCCCATCCCATCCCAGCCCATCCCATCCCATTATCCCATCCCATCCCCATCCCATGGATCCCATCCCATTATGCTATTATCCCATTATCCTATTATCCCATTATCCCATCCCATGAGTCCTATCCCATCCCATGATCCCATTGTCCCACCACATCCCCATCCCCATCCCATTATCCCATCCTCTCCCACCCCATCCCCTCCTATCCCATTCCATGGATCCCATTCCATGGATCCCATCCTATCCCATTTTCCCACCCCATCCCATCCCATCCCATCCCATCCCATCCCATCCCATCCCATCCCATCCCATCCCATCCCATCCCATCCCCATCCCCATCCCCATCCCCATCCCCATCCCATTATCCTATCCCATTATCCTATTATCCCATCCAGTGGATCCCATCCCATGATCCCATCCCATCCCATGGATCCCATTATCCCATCCCGCCTTTTCCCTGGCTGGGCCATGGATTCCGTTGGATCTCAGGGCAGAGTCCAGGATCACCCTGGATCATCCATCCCAGCATTCCCACTCAGCCTGGATTGATTCTGGCTGGGAGGGGCAGGAATTCCCCCGGCCCTTCCTCATGGAAGTCAGGGATGAGCGAGGATAGAACTGGGAGAGGGAGATTCCCAAAGCCAAGCCTTTTAAATGAGGTTTTTAGGGATAAACCCCCCATTTTAGGAATAGAGGCATCCATACAAGCAGCAGGAAGGGGATGACGCAGGAAATACCAGAAATACAGTGGGATGGGAAAGGTTTATCCCCCATCTCAAACAATTCCCAGGTCTCAGCACCTCTGGGGATCATCCATGGGTTTGTTTTATCCTTGTTTTCACTGAGAATTCCTGGAGGATTTTGCTCCAAGGAATGCCTGGCTTGGGCAAGCATGATATAATTTACCAGGTATAAAAAAACCCTGGGAATAAAAGAAAAGC